TCCAACCCAAACCGTTCTATGATTCTATACATATGTGTTTGGAAGTTTACTTAAAGCCTTGAAAGATGAACAGTATAAATTTAACGTTAAATACTCTTAATTATTATACAGAGGTTTCTCAATAAAATCTACAAACGTTTTGTATTTTGATGCTAGGGACTACTTCAGAAACATCTTTTCTTTCAGAACCTGAGTTATGCCTGGCACATACTCAGTCTTTTCTGGTTTTTTTATATTCAAATAATGTATGCATTTGCTTTTGTAGCTACTGTACCTTGACTAAGGAGGCATTTTGTCCCCTGTCTGCAGTGACACTTAAAGTCATCACTGTTTTAAAATTAACATATGTGATAGCCAAGACTGAGTCTAAAAGCTGTGCAAATGGACTTTAGTTACTAGATGATTGTCGAATGCCCTGAATCTCTTTACAGTTCCCATCAGTGGTTGTGCTCCAATTCCAGCCTTAGTACAACATGCTGTAATGTTGTAATGACAGGTTTGCAATAGACTGATGGAAATATTACAAGATAAATAATAGCTTCCATGCTAACATTATTCTCAGACAAAGGGTTAAATATTGGAAGTGTTAAATAGATTAATTTTCAAAATTTAAAAAATTAATTTATTTTAGAGATTCAAAATATTCCTTAAGCATGTGATTTCTCCGTAGTACGTGTAGTAATACGAGAAATGGGATTTGTGAAAACGCGTGATGAAGATGAAACAGCTAATCTTATATGGAGTGATTCTGCTGTGCAACAGGAAAAGATTGCTGAACTTCGGAATTATCAGGTAAGAGTGGTTGGTAGGATTTCTGACATGTTTCAGTAAACTGCTTCATTCTGAAATGTTCAGTAATGTGTCACTTTTGGTGATGTGTATGGAGGGGAAAAAACCCCCACAAAACACAACCAACCAGACTGCAGTAAGGCTATACCACTACAGATTTAAAAATCCTGTTCTCTTTTCCGGAGTTATTTGTTCATACCCCTTGGAACCTGGTGTTTAAATATTTGGGTCTGTTCTTTCATGCTTTTGCCTGCCAGTTGGGTATTGTGAATGATCAGAGTTTGAAAGAAGATGCAAAACATCATTTATAAGTTGCTCATAAGCTTTTAAGCAGTGAGTTAACAAGCAGAGCTCTCTCCCCAGTTTCTGTGAATAAATAATTCCTTTTTTTCACCATTACTCTGAGATAGCATTCTTTGTTCCTAGATAGCTTTGTGAATAAGAGTATGATAGTCTCCTTTCATGTCTGAAATGTAATCAATGGGCATACTCATGTTGGTGGAGGAGAATACAATTTACACTATCTTTAGTATAGAATAGAATACCTAGTATAATGTAAGATATTATCTTAAATGATTTATATGTAACACTAATTATGTTTGCCTGAGCTTTCAATTGAATGTTTCAAATGTGTTAGGTATGCCAGTAAAACTGAAAAGTAACAACTAATTTTCTTTTTTTTCTCCTTCCTCAGAGAATCAACCATTTTCCAGGAATGGGAGAGATCTGCAGAAAGGATTTTCTGGCAAGAAATATGACTAAGTAATCCTATTTTTTTTTTTAAATATTACAAAGTTTTTCAGCCATGGTATTTAATGCAGTACAATACTCAATTATTGTAAGATTTGTTTATTTTTACTAAGAGGCTATGGGACGACCAAGACTAATTTCCAAAGTTCCTTGATAACTTTGGTTTTGGTCCTGGATCTGTAGCATCTGAGCGGGCTACTGTATCTCTGCAGTTGACTTTGGTGGAAAACAATGTGGGTTCAGTTCTCTGTTTATGCATTGCAGAATATAGGAGAGAGCCTTAAATTATTGTGTAATATAGTTAATGCATGATACACCCAGGCATATATCGTGTAATGGTAGAACAGGAAAAATAACTAGTATGTGGATGGATATTATTTGTTTAAAATAATAATTTAAAAAAATAATGATGAATTTATTTTTGTGTATATCAAATTTAAAAAATGTGAAGCATTTTACTGTTTATATAAGAAATAACTCAGAGAGGCTCTTTTGTCACAATTATAAATTCCCCTCACTCTAGTATAATAACTGGGTTTGGAGCAATATCCTAGCTGAGAATCCGTGAGTATCACCTGTGAGAAAACAATACTAAATAATGATTCAACAGCCTGGTAATATGGAAAAGTTTAGGGAGTAATGTGTGTGGATATTTTGATTCTTCTAATCTAAATTAATTAAAGAGCAATTTATTAATAGAGTTAATCTTTCGGCCTCCAATGTTACCTACATTGCATTTCTTGTTACCAGAACAGAATTTGTTTTCAATGTAATTAATGTGATATCTCCCCCCCTCCCCACTCTCACTCTCCTTTTCTGTTTTGTAACTACAATGCATAGTGTGTAGAATGTACACAACTCTAATGATGCAAATATTACAGGCATTGCTATGGTGTCTCCATGTCCTGCGTGTGGGCCAGAACTCCCTTGCATCAATGCGTGCTGGACAAGCACTTTTCACTGCCCCTTCCAGAACTAAACTCTAAGTAAAAACATAGAGATAGCACGCGGAGGCAAACTGCTCTTTGCAGAGGTCTTGGAAACAGTGAATGACATTGGTCAGCTTGGTAGGCAGTGGTATCCATGTGTATTGCTACAGTTCTGTGATTTAAAAAATATATGCAAAATGAGCAAAAGGCTCATGTTATCGTGCACATGTGGTTTTCAAATACAGTCTGATTATACCTCTCTCAACCTACTGAATTGTGAGTTTGAAACAGAGCTTAAAGGTACTCAATGCAGAGATTGCACATATTATAGATAAAATGGGAATAATTTCCCTGATATGATAACTCTGGGTCAAATATATCTATGTTGTGACTTCACTTAATATCAGCAGATATAGCAGGGTTTTAATCAGTCTGTTTTTCACAGTACCAGCCTCACAATTCACTTAGTATTCATAATTTATAAAAATCAAAATGATATGCCTTGAAACTGCTTGTGAAATAGAGATAGGTATGTGAAAACACAAGTCAGTTGGGATCCATGGTTAGACAGGCTTTTGTCTGTAGAGTGGAGGATTTTGTTCCCTACAGCTGCTATTCTGTCTTAAAATGTATTTGAACAGGATAGTGCAGAAACACTAATTGTGCTCTCTTGCTTTTCTGCTGCATGCAGTCTTTTCTGTTCCTGATACTGACTCGTACAGAGTAGCTGTGGGGTTTGTGCTATTCATGAAGCAACTGCTGAGAGTTGGTGGAGAGTAGTCAAGTGTTTATTCTTCTGTTTCTTTTACTTCTACCTTTGTTGTTATACTGATCTCACCCTTACATTTTATGCAAGCTGTTGGGAATGGAGCAAAAGAATAGATCTACTGGACTCTGAGAGGCAAATGTTATTCGGGAGGAATTCCTCTTACAGCCAATGTCCAGGCTCTCTGGATCACAGGACAATGCGGTTTTCACTTGTAGAAGGGTGGAAGGGAGCGGTGTAATATGTAGTGTGCGTAACGTGAAAGAAGACAACCCAGCACAGAAAGTGTAGGGACACAGAGTAATGGAATAGATAGAAGCAGGAAT